TGCCTGCTTACTTTAGATGATCATGAGGATGGCTCAGGGCATGGCGTAGTCTTCTGACAGAGACTGCAGCCACGGCACCATGGTTATTGGGAGTTCGCCTCCTTGTTGCCCCTCTAGCCTTCTCTACTTGCCATTTGTAGGGTCCTGGCCTTCCTCTCCCTGTCACCTGACTGGCTGGCAGGGCTCAAGCCTTAATCCCTACTTGACCAGCCAGCCATGACTCGAAGGTTCTGGACTTAAAGGGACCACCCTGTCTCTTAGTAACAGGGTTAGGGTTTCCTGTTACAGTTCCCCAGAGAGGTGGTGGACTCTCCATCCTTGGAGGTTTTTAAGACCTGGCTAGACAAAGTGTTGGCTGGGATGATCTAGTTTGACACGTTCCTGCTTTGAGCAGGGGGTTGGACTAAATGATCTCCTGAGGTCCCTTCCAGTCCTAATTTTCTGTGATTTGGCACTTGAATTCTTAGAAACCTTCTTTGCTGTGGACTTTGGCTAAGGCAGTAGTTTGGATTGCAAAGCATTATTTCTGGAGGGTGAAGCTTGAATTGTATTTCACCTCACAGGACACTTAGATAGTCTTTAGCTACTTTAGTTACTAAATGTCATCCTATTTCTCCCTATGTAATAGTAGAAATGCCACGAGAGGGTCTAGATTTCTTATGTACCTCCATTGTAGCCTAAAAAATCCTTTATGCAACTAGACTTGACCATGTTCAGATGCAATCTAATGCAGCCACCTGGGCATCTAATTCTACTTACTATCCTTATCTATTTCCATCTGGGAAAGTATATAAACTGTGAAAGTCCCCCAAAGGACCATGAACAGTTTTTGCATGTAGCTCAGTTTTTTAAGTACTTGCATAGGAAATAAGAGGAGTTGGGCTCAATGTTTCTCTCACCCTAAGTGAGTTTGGTAGAGCTGCAAACATTTTCCTTTCTGTCCTTGGAGGTTGGGCCACTAAGCTGAAAGGGATACAGAGTCATGGATGAGTCATACCAGAAGACAATGGGGGAGTCCTGGTCCCTCCTCCTGTTGTTACTTATCCATTTTATCCAAGAACTCTTTGATGCCAAGCACATGAAGACTCCTGGCAGCTGGGACTGGAATCCAGGACTCCTACTGTATAGCTGAGTGTCCCTAGCTATTAGGCTATAAGTCACACTCCCTTCAGTTTGCTTCTTGTACTGATTATACATTATACCAGTGGTTCCCAAACTCTGACAGATTGTGTTCCACCACCAATTTAAAACGACACAACCTTAAGTACCACCAGCAAATTGTTGTCATATAAAGTAATTATAATAAATCTGTTAACATGTACCACTGACAGGTTGTTGGTGCACCACTGGTGGTATGCGTACCACAGATTGGGAACTGCTGCATTATACAGTACAAACTCATGGATAAAATGAATGTGAGTAGGAGCTAGAACCCAGGATTCCTTCCCTCCAAGGACACTGTCCATCCCATTAGTCCACAGGGTCACAGTTCCTTTCCCTTGTTCTCTTTCTGGCCCCATGACTGTCCCTGTCATCTGGACCACCCTCACTGTCAGGTTGAACCCGCAGGCGATGGGATCCAACTGGCATTACTGCATCAGGAGCTGTTCTTTTGAGGGAGTATATGTATAAATGGTATGGCTTATTACATTAATCCAAAGTCTAGTATGTGTCAAAATCAGTCTTAAACCAGCACCAAAATGCAAAAGGTACTAGGAACACTTTTAATTTGGGTTAGTCCTTCACCTGCCAAAAGCAGAAACAAGCATGTAACACTGGATTGGTGCAATTTCCAATTTTCCCATGACAGTAATGGTAGCTCTGGATGGTTACAAAATACTGAGCTTTAAAATCACATCCATCTAATGTGAAGGGGTTTTCTAGAAGTTTGAAGGCCAGATGATTTTTCCAGCTGCATGTCATAGGGTAGTGAACCAAAGAAAAAGGGCACCAAAGAAAAAGAAAAGAAAAGAAAAGAAAAAGGGCACCAAAATTAAATGGGGGTGGGGGTGGGGAGGAGTGAAGCCTATACAGGACTCTATTCTTACTTACCTGTGAAGCTTTCCTTGTGGTTAGAGTTCATCAAATGTAGTGGATGCTTGTCCAGCAAGCAAACGGCATGTGTCTAAGAAGTGAGAAAACATAAAAGATGTCAAAAAGCACGAATCCTACTGACCATAGGCATCTGGCAGATACTGAGAGAAAAGTTAGCAGAAATACATGTTGCTTAAACAGCCATCAAGTACAGCATGTAAATCCTCTGGTAGGAGTTTGAAAGGGCTTACGTTCCTGTTGTCCTCTTCTCTACAAAGAAAAATCAGACTAGTCTCTCAGTTTGGCTACCACACCTTCTTCATGAGAAGGGCATGTGAGATTACCTTTGTGTTTTCAAGTGGTGTTTGCACACTGCTTTTTTCCAGAGGTATAACAGGGTAGCTTGGTGCCTGGGCAGCACTGGCAGCAGTACGGCTGGGCAACCATGGTGGAGTCTGTTCTTATTCTGACCCCTACAAAAATCAGCACCCAGGGTTGCTTCCCTGGTCACTCCACCCTTATAAAGCTACTACTTTTCTCTTTCCTAAGGAATACCAAGAGCAGAGCATGACTTGTCCCTTGGTACTTTGTCAAGGTTCATAGGAATAGATTCAGTTAACCAAAATAGTGCTGTATTACAATATTTCAATAACCAAACATACTTTTAAAAAGTTTTCCTTCATTTAGTTTTTCTAGTGATTTTACATAAGTTCTGTTCAGTTACATTAAACATTTTTAACACAAAAATGATGTATGGTCAGCTTGTTTCTGAAAGATACACCAGACATAAAACCATATATTGCCATTTTAATCATAATGGAAATAAAGTTAATTAGGGTGGGTTTTTTTACGAGAAACAAAAATTAATAGCCATTGACTGACCTTGTTCCAGTCAACTGAGTATTAGCAAGGAAAACTGTCCAAGGACCAAATCCTGCAAAGACTTATGCACATCCTTAACCCTAACCAAGTTTGAGAAAGCTTTTTACCCTGAAGAAGTGGAGACTTGGTAAGAAGCTGCCAAAGAAAGAAAGAAAGAAAGAAAGAAAGAAAGACTTTGACTTTTAAGAGGCATTTATTCCAGGGAGGGTGACAAATCAGGGCCAGTAGAGAGCATGTACAGGTTGGCCCGAAGATCTGGGCCTCATGGACAAGGCCTGGGCTCATGGCCTGCAAGGCCTGCCCGTACACTCTAGACTAAAAAACAACACACACAAAAAACCCACAACGAACATTAGGACTATTTACATAGTCTACTATTTACATATTTACAGTTCTGCCAGCAGGGACACCCATGGAGGCCTCAGGGGTTGACCCGCATGAACAAAAGAAAGAAAATAAGGAATAAATATGATATGACTTTGTTTCTGTGTTTAAAAAAGACTCCTGTATTTTATGACAGGGATACTAAGGCCTAGGTGAGAGTGCTTGAACCCAGGGCTGCATATCTCAAACTTTACTGGGAGCAATTGATTTTGGTATGCGTCTCACTGGAGGGCTATCACAAGTGAAATCCACTCCACTTGTTGATAAGCTAATTTGCAAGTGGGAAACTGGATTGTACATGCAGAGGTAGACTCAGATTAATGAATCACCTCACTGTGCTTGCTCTTCTCCTTTTCAAATCCATTATGTGTTTAATGAAGTGATTTAATAAAGAATGATGGCAGACCACAGTGATCATCCTGGTGTGCTGCATGTGGCCTACAGGCTGTGTGTTGTACATCCCTGCATCAGCAAACCTGGGAAGGGAAGTCAGCACAGCATATATCCATAAGCACCAAAATCATGAACACGTGTGCACATGGCTCACATCCTTCAATAACAGCATAGAAAGGCTTGCCTAATGTTTGTTTCACCATGAAGTGCTGGGTCCTATAGTTCAGGCAAAATTCTCATTGACACTGGTGGGATTTTTCTGGGTGGAAATTAATTCCAAAATGTCAGAATTGTGAGCTTACAACGTGAAAAGAAAGCCAGAACCATTGAACTTATTTTCCTCTTTTGAAATATAAGCAGCAGTGACTGGTAATAAATTGTTAGGAAGGTTTTTTTGCTCCTTAATGCCTAGCATGAAAACCATTTCCCTGTGTTTATGTGTGTCCTTTTTTTCCCTTTGGAATAGACCTTTCTGGATTTTAGTGGATAAGTTTCTTGATTCCATCTTTGAGATGGATGTGATGAGGTTTCCCAAAAATACAGAAAGGAAAATAATGTTTATAGAAAAGGGGATGTAAGAACATAAATAGGATATGCAGAATTCAAATAATTTAACCTTAGTTTAAAAAAACCCCAACTGTTTGCCTTTTATAATGTTGAGTTTCATGCCATTTTTGTTGAAAATCCTTTCAGAAATGTTTCCATGTTCCCAGTATTCTTCTAAATCTGGCCGAAAATGTGTTTTAAAAAATGCATTAAAACAAAATATTCTCTTCCTATAATTACAGTATTGTGGTAAGAGTGTATTGGAACTTCGTGCCACAGAAAAAATATTGGGAAAATTATATTATTGAAATGTATATGTTTTGCCTTTTTGTATGTATTTTGTTAAAGAAATTTCTGAGTAGCTATAGGTAAGACGTATGCTGACATTAAAGAGAAAAAATTCCCAAATATTCTCAATACATTTTTACTTTGTTTCACTGTATTTTATAGTTAGAAGAAATAATGTGCAAATTGGAATCATATGTTAAACCTTAAAGAACGAAATTACTGCTTGCTACCTTTATATATTTGGTACCATCGTTTTGATTTGAAAAGCTACGAAATATTCACTCTTTCTTTTCAGTGTGTGCTGGGAATGTGACATGAATGTGGTTAGTGCTTTACTCCTCTTCCTGTTGGTCTCTGATGAATGTGAAGGGGAATGTGTACAACACTATCTCACTTGCATTTCTTTTTCTCTGATTCTTCCTTGTTACATACTATAGTAATCTACTTCTATAAGATCATCTTATTTCTTACAGATGAATGATGCTATGGGATTTGAATTGCCATGGGTGTATTTTGTCAGTCTCGTCATCTTTGGGTCATTTTTCGTACTAAATCTTGTTCTTGGTGTATTGAGCGGGTAAGCATACACCTTTTTCATCATGAAAGCAGAGTCCTGAATTCAGTTGCCATGAACACACAGGTCAGATTATGCAGGTGACATATCAATCATTCAGTGTTGACATAGTTTAAAAAAGCTTTCTTTCTTCCTGCTGTGTAAAAATGCCATAAAGCTGGAACAGAAACAGCTTAAAACAGCTGAAACATGGCCCCTGAAAAATAATGTGCAGTTATCAAAATCAGATATTTATTTAGAAAAAAAGAATTACCTGCCTATATTCTTCCTGTTCATAACTAAATTGAGGTTTAATTATAATGAAACTTACAAATGTCTTTCCATTCATATAAAGGTGACAGTTTAAAGCTTATCTTCTGTTGTAGGACTTAGAATCTGATCTGTAGGTTGATGAGATGAGTACAGAAATTAAATATAAGTCTCCTTGTAATAAAAATTAACTAAGACAAATGCTGAACAGATTTTATACATTTCTCAGCATTCAGAAAGGTAACTATTTTCTTTTTTCCTAATAGGCGAATGAGAAAAAATGTAGAGGGTGAAGAGAAGCTAATTGTTATAGATGAGGTTCTGAAAGGAAAGTTTGTGTTGAAATAATGAACACCTACGTGATCTGGCAGCTGTAAAAAAGGACTCTGCTATTTAATGAATGGCTAAATCATAACTTATTTCCTTACATTTTACAGGTAAATGATGCAATAGGATGTGAATGGCCATGGATCTATTTTGTTAGTCTTATCATCCTTGGCTCATTTTTCGTACTTAACCTGGTTCTTGGTGTACTTAGTGGGTAAGCACTAGCAGTTGAATTCTACTGCAGCTTCTAAGATGGCTTATGCATTTACTCAGCTTCTCCGTGACAGCTTTCTTTGCATGTGTTTGAAATTCTTGTCACCCTACCAATGTTTGCTCTTTTGACTGACTCTTGTGATCCTGTGTCTGTATCTGTCTGTGACATCCTGTGTTTAGAGTGCTTGCCAAAACTGTTAGTTGAATGAGGCACTAATCACCTAATTGTAAAAATATTTCCAGTAGTTGGATACATTATTTTGCACATAGAGTTAGATGCACCTATAATCCACACACTCCCTCCAAGGTATATCCCACTCTGAAAGTCTAAATGTGTTTTTGTTTAAATTAAACACAGCTTTATATTTACTGGTCATGCACTGCAAAGAGTTTTATTGTGTGCTTCAGGTTCTAGATCATAGACAGAATATGTCTGGATTATGTGATAACCTGTAGCATTGTGAACTGGAGCTCTGACTGATTTAAATGGGAGTTTAAGGCAACCAGGAGGATTGAGAATCTGCACTTATCTACAGTCAGCTGTCTGTGTAATATACCTTTCAGTTATAAATTAGTCATAGGCAATTTGTTGCCTCCAAGCCAAACAGACTTTAGCCAAGAACTGTTTGCTTTTATCTGTATAGTTATAAGTATATGGCTTATGATAAAGATAATTTATCATCAAGAGTAAAGGAAAAGATGCCGGAGATATTTGAACCTGTTTGGAAAAGTTAGATACCGATGTGCATTATATCAATTCATATAGAGTTAACTCAGAGTTAAACAATATTTTGTGGTTTGGAACAATGCCATCCTTGTAAATATGAGCCAGATGGTACCAGTGACAAAACTCCTCTTAATGGAAGCAAGACCATTAGGAAAAAATGGTAGTGTGGTGTCATCAAACTGCTGCTTATGTGCACCTCCCTATTCCCAGTCTTCTATGTTGTGCTTTAGACACTTGAAATATTAGGGAGTATTTTACTGCAATAATATCCCAGTGCCCTTCATAAAATCAATTTTGTAAGGCCCTATTGGGGTTTTAAAACCTAACTGGTTTTAAAATATAATTATAAAAATCACAAGCTTGTTTATACACTCACAGTTCATTAAGGATAATAGGGAAAGTGATGCCTTACTTCATTATGACAATCCTTTTTGGAGGACGAATGGGAAGAAAGGAACAGAAAGAGTAAAGAAGATGATGGTGATTGTCTGACTCAGGCTGCCATCTTACAAAGCTTTAATATTTATCCATAGTCCTGTGACTACATTTATCCAGTGACAAGTGTGTAGGTCTGTGCAAAACTGGACTTAGTTTTTATGTTGCAGTCTCCCTGGGGAAAAGAATTAAAAATGGGAAGAAAGAAGGGGAAAGAGGTGGTGAGCTGCTGCATAACTAACATGAAAACTTTCAGTGCCATCACCTACCATTTCTGTGCCACCAGAGTTTGCACTAAAGTCAGTGCAGGATCAGGCTTTCAGTGTTTTCCTCCCCTGGGCCTTTAAAAGACCATTAGCTGCAATTAATTTTCTTCCTATTATGCGAAGTTGTGCTGTGGCAGCAAGTGATTAAATATTCCCCTTTTCTGCTGCTGGACTCAAATGAATCACTAGTTCTTGTGATTTTTTTTTAATTTGAAAAATGATATTACATTTTATATTATGACCCACATGTTTTTTACTCCTAATGAAGCCTAGGAGTGAGACTTACAGCTAAGGTTTGAAATAATAATATTGGTTTAAACATTTTATAAAGCTCACTGACATTTTAAATACATTGGGACCCTTATTATAATTTATTTTTGCTTTGATAGGTAAGGTTTTGGTGGGTAGGCCAGATAAAATGAAGCTAAAGTAAAAAAAATTAACCGTGCTTTCTGCAATTGCACTGTATTTGTCTCAGCCCACATGACAACTAAATATTATTCCCTGCTGCTAGCTCAGTTAGGCAGATTTGGTGCAGGATGGCTTGATGAGATAAAGAACTGCTATGTAGCTGCAGTCAGTGTCAGGCATGCCTACACTACTGCACAGAGGTGAAGTAACCAATGCAGTGGTTGATCCATTCCTCACACAAGCCCCTACCCACCCATCTTTTGATTTTGTAGTCCTAGGTCTTCTGCAGCACACATGATGTGAGCCTTCTCAAATTCAGTTCTTTCCACTGTGTGTGACTGTATTGGCTCAGCAGCAGTTAGGTCTTAGTGACATCGGAGGCAGAGGCAGGGTTTACCCCAAAGCACACAGGTGAACACCCTTACCTCCCATGTGTCTATGATTTCTATATGTAAGAAAAATGAGATTGCAAGTAGGTGGCATTGTCCCTTTATTTTAAACATGTTATATGTTCACCTTAAGCCTGCCTGGTTTTATGTGTAAAAGAATGTAAAACATGTACATGTTGCAAAATCCTATGGACTTGCTAGTATTTATTGATGAAAAGTTTATATTTTTCATTCTGAATCAGGCATATATGTAGGACAGGTTATTTTTCTTCTTATCAAAGGAGCCCTCAGCTTTGCTTTTTATCTTCGGCAAAATGCCACATGAAACCTGCAACAAGATAAACCTATAAGCAGATTAATCAAATTATACTAAGTCTGACCAAACTCTAACAGTGCAAAATATAACACCAATTTACTCAAAAATATGGCTGTGCACACAGATTTTAGAGGTTGACTCTGACTCATGTCTTAACATACTTTGTCCTTATATTAATGATGCTTCCTGTAGTGCTGAGTTATGCTGTGTACATTTAGATCTATTTCCTGTTTTGATCTCTGTTTGATGTTTTAAAATATTCATTCATTCTCTTTGCACTCCTGTCTGGTTCTGTGGCCATCTACCCCGTCGTATTTCTCTACTGCATCTCTCTTGTGCACTGCATGTTTGATGTGTTTAGATATTGTACCCGGGGATGGGACTGATGATTGGGGAGATCTTTTGTTTTACATCTAGCCATTTCTGAAGGTGAGTATTTCCTTATGATCCATGTAAATAGTGTCTATTTAAGAAGTCATTGATTAAAATGTGATTCAGCATTTTAAATTCATAGATATTTTAAAAATAGAGAACTAACATAGGAGTACTTATCCCTAGGAAAAAAAAAAATTTTAGTATGCAACCTGACAGTGGAGGATGTGTTCTAAATATTTCCTCAAGTAGCAAACTTTAGAAAGAATTCATGGACAAAAGTTAGACAAGAACACACCATTTTCCAATAATACACCCAATCAAAAGTCTTGCATTTGCATTACCTTTTTAAAACACTGGTACTATTCATGTCTCTCACAAAGTCAGTTGTCAAGCACAAGACTGCTTTAAGCTAGTACAGATAAGGACTGATTTATGCTTATCCCTGTACAGGTACCTAAGGGATTTGGGTAAACACAAGGATCTCGTCTCCCTCATTCCTGCCTATGGTTGAAGAACAGTCTTTATTGGGAGAATGCTAAGGGTCATAGAGCTGCTGTTCTGCCATTCACTTTTCTGTAGCTCAAGGAAAAATTCTTCCTGAGACGGTTAAAATTATTTCATTGGCTGTCATAGCAGTGTAACTGTTTTGCATTCTCTCTATCACAGGGTAGAGACTAAAGCCAAAATCTGACCCTAAATATATAGTCTGTCTGAGTCAGATAATAGGATCAGATTGTCCAGTTCGTATTTTATCTTCCAGAAATGATGATAACAGTATAAGGAAAAGGGATAGATGTAAAGATTGGGAGTTAAAGGCACTTTACATACTTATAAAACCAAATAATAAAGGTCCTGATTCTGCCATCCTGTGAGATTTTGCTTCAAGAAAAAAAGCAAAGGCAAAAACAGATGGCTGAACCCACAATCCCAAAATTGTGTGTTGTTTTATAACTCAGTTATGCAGTTCTTGTCTAATGTCCCCATGGAAGTCTATTGTTTATTTCTTATGTTCAGTATATTTTGTATGTATTAAATGTTACAGTATAGTTAGCACCTCTGGTAAGCATATGGAAAACAACAGCCTTTCAAAGGGCATTCGGGTGGTTATTAAGCATGTGCTTTACAGTGTAAATACATCAATTAGAATGAACCTAACCAGTTTTTCAGATGAGGCAGTGTAGAAGTCAGCAGTGAATCAGGGCAAGAATAAACAGTGCCAATCTCCAAGGTGCCATAGGAGTAGAAATTCAGAAATACAGTTGGGTTAATACTACATACAAGTCCCCAGGAGCATT